CCTCTCGGTCTGGGGCAAGTGATGCACTGTATTCTTGGTGCTTGGGGGGCAACAGTGGGAGGGCTTCTAGTGTCCTGGCCCCACTGGTGGACCTCCTGATGGCACCTGGTATTTTTGGCTGGAAAAACAAGGAACTGTGAGGTAACTGCGCTAGAAAATATTTCAATAATGATCACAAAATTTATACAAAAATGTGTACAAAAATCTGCATATATAATGCACAAAGGCAGTTGAAAATGGTGATATTGACGATGATCTCCAGAATGTTCTATCGTTTCGATACTATTCTTCCAAATGTGGATGAAAGCAGCGACTCTTGGTCTGTTATTTCAACAGGTACGTATCAACAATTTCATTAATTTTCACCGATGTATCATAACATAGTTGCAAGAGATTGTCTGAAAGGACGTTCCTAGGGCAAAGTGCTTGTATAATGTCCTGCCACAAATTCTGTTAATCGCTTAAGGTGCTACTGGACTCTCACTCTTTTCTTCTCAGGGAGTGGCTGTAGTAAGTGTGCAACGAGTCACCCCCACCATCTCATCAAAACTGACAGCAATCTAATAAATCCATTTTAAGAACAGTGCCCTACAACTCTGTTTTAGAAGCCTCCTTGCCTTTCTGATGCATAGTGGGGCACAACGTCTGTGCCGAACATATGTTGGCAAGAGCATCTAAAGAATCTTAAGAGGGGGATTAGTAGGGGCTTAAGTTCCTCTGGCATTTGGCCTAGCAGCTGTGGAATTCCAGCTTCCTGGCAACGGAAAAGAACCTGGAGACAAATACCCCCCCCAAAGGCCCCTCTCCAGGAAAGCTATGCTCTCAACCCCCCAGGGCCGTCTAGTTACAGCACTCTAGCTGCACGCAAACCTCTGGCTCAAAAATTTGAGTCCATTCTGTCCTAAAGGCACCTAGCAAAGAAGAGAAATATAAACACATCCTGTATGTTACAAGTCAAAGTTCGAGTCCAGTGGCACCAACAAAGTTTTATTCAAGGTGTGCACGCATACAGGGAACATACAGGGAACAATACTAACCTACATGAATGGATGTTTAAAGAGGATGCTCTAATAGACGCCACTTTTGATCTCCCAATTGAGGTTTGCGCCATGGTTTAAAATAATTAAAAAGGATCATTCCAGAGCCTCTTACTTAAACAACCTCGTATAATCTCAGGAGGCCCCTTACCTCAGTGCGTTTTCAAACGATGCCTTCGGAGATGCTAGCTGGTCGCTATAGGAAAGCCCCAGTAGACCAACGCATCTGCATATGTGGGCAGTCAGTGGAAGACCTTCCCCATTATATTCTGGCGTGTCTTTTATATGTAGAACCTAGGGCCAAATTTTTAGCAAAGATATTGACAGCCCTATACCCCCTGTCTGATTATGATAAGATGGCCTTCATCTCTTCAAGGTTGGCTCTCTTTGCCTTGGCCGCAAGAAAAATTAGAGCAAAGAAATCAAATAGTACCATTGAAACTAAGTGAGTGTTCTTTAAAGGTCTTATCAGATTTAAATATTACAGGCTGAGGTAGTTTTAACAGGTTTTATATGTTTTATAGATTTTTTTATTATTATACGTTATACACAAACTCTCTGAGAGTGTTTGATACTGTAAAGGCCTATGGCCACATACAATAAAGTGATTCTGATTCTTTCGTGCGCACACACACTTCTGCAGATAAGAAAGCTTATACCTTGAATAAAACTTTGTTGGTCTTAAAAGGTGCCACTGGAACTTTTTCCTGCTGCTTCAGACCAATGCAACAACCCACCTGAATATATGTTACAGGGCTGGTCAACTTAAAAGGTTCCACTGATTTAGTGGACAGCACACTTCTTAAAAACCTGTTGATTTTCACTGCCAAAACTTACAGAACATGCTAACAACTGGCATTATCTTAGAAGAGCTCTTGCCCATCACCCACGGGAGAGGATTCCTGTTCTAAGATGGTGCTGTCTAGCATCATGCGACTAAACATAGAAGTATGCATCAGAACACTTGTTTTTATTCCTATACAAATTTGGGCAAACTTAATCAATTAATCAGATGTTTCAATCAACTATTTTGTCAATTAGGTGACAGCATTAATCTGTACATTTCACTGAAATAAGGTGTAAGGCCTATTTAGCATTTCGGTTTTGTGATTATGGTGACACGAGTCAGTTGGTACTGGACATGATACGGCACCTTGAGAAACTCGTGATTCAGAAAAGTTGCTGGCTCTCAAGGATGGGCAAAACAGATTTGGAAGTACGTGGGAAATGTCTTAAAATGCAATAAAATGCCTGCTGGTAATTATTAGGGTGGGGGTGGATCTGGGGTTTTATTCTTTTTTGATGCTTTAATTGCATATTGTAAGCTGTCTTGAGTTGTACAAAAAGACAAGATACAAATGTTTTAATAAATAATTACATAATGTGTCCACGTGACAACTAATGAGAGCAGAGAGAACCCGAGTTTCGTAAATCAGAGACAACGGTCATGTGAATGGCTAAAACAATGGGGCAGAAGTACAGATCAGGGCTACGGATGTACAAAGATGCCCGCCTTCCTTCCTTCTTTCCTTTTTTGTTTTGCATGCTGACATTGCCAGACTGTTCATTATTGATGTCCCCTTTTCATTTCGCTTCTTTTTACAGCATTTCTAAGTTACATGCTGTTCATACAACACGGACACAAAAATAACGTTGAATATTAAGTTTGATGAGAGAAAGCCAGCATGGGGAGAGAGTGCGGAAACTGAGACTCATGGATTTCATTTGTACAAGGAGAAATGTGACTGAAATGGGGACTTTTGTGAGAAACTGGGTCCGCAACATTCGGCGGCGCCCCATAACAGAGCAATCACTGCCTCTGGGGAAGGAACTCTATACTCGAATCACCAGTTCTTGGAAGCTGTCATTGTCTTCTTCACTTGGGAGGGGGATGCACCTATTTCCCATCTCAATCTCCAAATAAGTCAACAATCCTAGAACAATTCTGCAGCACGAAATATCGGTACCTATGAAGGTCTTGAGCCGGAGGGGGAAAAAGAACAGAGAAGATGGAAGAGGTTTTTCTTGAAACCCACGTTTCTGTTGCCTGGACTCCAGCGGAGGTCCATCTGCTGCCTCATTAGGACGTAACGACCTCTCAACTTCCTAGAGTGGAATTGGTAAACAGGGCCAGAGAGGCCTCTCGCTCTGTGGCAGCTGGAGGCCGGCCAGCATCGCCATGGCAACCAAGCAGAGTTGGGTCAGCTAAAGTTACTTTGCACTCCATGGGTGGAATGGCTGACATTTTTCAAGATTTAAGCAGCTTCCAGAAATAGGGATCAGGAGGAGTCACAGACTGGGTTTTATTTGGACGGAGAGCAATACTGGTGAACACAGAGGGAAGGGGCCATCATTGTATTCTTGGGTTTTTAAAAATTAAATGGTTTCCAAGAACAATAGCTTTGCAATGCTTATTTCTGGCCTAATTCTCACCAAAAGCAGATGAGGAGATAAACCAGTTCAGCTATTATGTTTTCTTTTATCCCACTCTTTCTCCAAGGGGCTCAGGGAGATGTATAAAGTTCCCTTGTTTTATTGTCACAATAATCCTGTGCAGTAGGATAAAGCTGAAAGACAGTGAATGGGACAAGGTCACACCATGAGAGTCATGGTTAAGTGGGAACCTGAACCCTGGTCACCCCAGGCGTTGCACTACAACATGTACTGGTCCATACTTGGTTCTGGACTATACCACTATAGGCTCCTGCGCTACAGTCTCCTGGGGGGGGGTCATCAATGTATTGAAAGTTTGCTCAACAGGAAGAAGAACAAGCTAGAAACTTTCAACCTGCCAGCCTAATTGTACATGTTCAGGCGATTTTTAAATATGGAGGAGCCTTCAAACAAGTGAACCCCACCTGCCATTTGAAGTAGTACAGTGCAGTCCAAACTTTTACTACTCCATCTGCTGGACAAAGTTTGAGTCCAGTGGCATCTTTAAGACCAACAAAGTTTCTTTCAAGGTGTAAGCTTTCGCGTGCACCTGAATCTACTCCATCTGCTGTTTGTGTGTGAAAACCAAAGCCAATGCTACAAATGGGCTTCAGACCAAGCTACACACACGAGGAAGTGCTGGAGCTGCTTTGCCAAAACACACAGAGAATTATCTTGGCCCAACTGATCCAGCATTCTGTGTCCAACTGTAGGCAGCTTTGGGAAGCTTACAGGATATGAAGGAGAAGAAGAAGGAGGAGAAGAAGAAGGAGGAGAAGGAGAAGAGGAGGAGGAGGAGGAGGAGATTGGATTTATACCCTGCCCTTCACTCGGAGTCTCAGAGCGGCTTACAAATGCCTTTCCCTTCCCCTTCCCACAACATGCACCCTGTGAGGTAGGTGGGGCTGAGAGAGCTCTTTCCAAAATTGCTCTTTCAAGGACAGCTCTTGTCAGAACTATGGCTTCCCCAAGGTCATTCAGGAGCTGCAAGTGGAGGAGTGGGGAATCAAGCCCGGTTCTCCCAGATTAGAGTCCGCACACTTAACCACTACACCAAACTGGCCTTCCTCTGTTGTTTATGCCAAGGTGCACTGCCTACATACACAAACACACACATACCCATGAAGCTGCCTTACAGAGAACCAGACCACTGGTCCATCAAAGTCAGTATTGTCTACTCAGACTGGCAGTGGCTCTCCAGGGTCTGAGGTTCTTCACATTACTACAACCTGAGACTTACTGGAGATGCCAGGGATTGAGACCTGGGACTTCCTGCATGCTTCTACTACTAAGTCATGGCCCCTCCCAATCTATTAGTCATCATAGTTACCAGCTGCCAACAAACCTATCATCCATGGGTTTGTCCACTTGTAAGAGTCACACGAGCCCACATCTTGAACCCACTTTGAATCCATGTTGTCTCTAGGCCCTTATGAAATAGGGAACAGATTCTCGCTCCCTGGCAGCAGATGCAACAAGGTGGGCCGTTTCAGAACGGAGATGAGCTGCAGGTCAGCGACATTAACTCACCCCTTCGGAAGCGCAGGCAAACTTCTCCGAGATCATAAAAGGCACGCCTTCCATGGCTGCAAAGACACAGAAAGAAGGCATCATCATCATCACTGAACATCTCATTACCAGCTGACTGATTCCCCGTGACCTTTTGCTTGAAGCCTCCTAAGTGGCCCACAAGACGGATAACACACAGCAGGTACAATAGAAGACAGAAGTACTCGGCCTTGCCTGAATGGATATCAACACGCTTTTCAAGGGCCTGTACACTTCCCAGTTCTCCAGATCACAAGATACGTCTGGCTACGTGCAAGATGCAAAGAGCATGCTGAAAACTAAGCATGCCAGAGGCTGGTCAATGCCCGAGACCTTCTGGGAACCCTATGCATGCCACCTCAGGTTCCATCAAGAGGGACGAGAAGCAAGACCACAAATACAATTAATAAAATCAAAATAGTTTAGAATTGCCAAGGGAACATCTGCATTGCTGCTGCAGCCCTATTTTGCTGGGAGTCATACCTCTAGAGTCCTGTGCTTCTACCTCCACACACCCCAGTACCTACACCAAGGATACTGATGCAAGAATATGGGAAGGGCAGAGCAAAAAAAACCCACACTCAACAATGTTGCCTCCAAGTCTTAGACCTGGAAATCACTTGCATCACCCCATTCTGCATGTCCCCCACATTAGTAATCTGACACGACCAGCTCTGAAAACAGAAGAAGCACCCGGAAATTCACACAAAACTGACTGTTAGCACATTTTCATTGGAAGAAAATAATTAAATAATCATCATCCCGAGGAAAGAAACAGCCAGGACGGAGGATGTCTCTCAAAGAGACACAACTTCTTCTCATTCTGCGGAAACCTAATGCCAAGACCTGGTGGTGAGCCCAGCCCCCAATTTGCCCTCCTCTCCCGTGGAAGACAGTTTCAGAACTCTTCCATCCCTTTCAGGTTGAGAATCGAGCCAGGGATGTTTCCAAAACATGCTCACTCTGCCTGCCTGCACAGGTTGTCTGCACAAGGCTTGTGAGACTGTACATAGGACTGTACCAGGATTCCCTGTGTGATGTTTAATGACGGACATAAACATATTGGTAAAACACTGTAGAAAAAAAGATACAGTTATATGTGCAATTGTATCAGGATTGGTTTGTTGTATAGTTTTATTACTGTGTACTGCTAATGGGCGGCGGGGGGGGGGGGGAGAGACCATGCAGATGATGGGAAGGAACGGAGCATTCTGTGATAATGGAATTAAATTGGAGAAATTCTCATAGTTAAACAGGAATTCAAAAGGAGCAAAATACAACACAGGGGGAAATTATGGAGTAATAAAGACAGACGAAGTGCGCGCGCGCATGTGTGTTAATCTTCTCACCCCTAAATCAAACCTTAATTAACTTTGTTTACTTTGCATGAGCGATAACCTTTCCACATCTTGAAAAAAACCTTTGTGATATTTTATTAATTTGTTTGGTTAAAACAAAAGAGAAAATGCACACTTATCAGGTACACAAATGATTACTGCTACAGTAAATCAAAGGTGCCAATTATTGCCTGTGCTTTATTTTCCTAATAAAGAAAAGTTTTCTGATTTTTAATTTTTTTTACATTTTAATATTTTTTTAATCCACGGTAATTTGTTAACTTGGACACAGTAGTCGACTTGTGCTATTTGGTTTCTTGTTCGCCGCAGAGATGTGAATGGGTGAAACATTCTCTAAGACAAGTGTTTTGTGGGTTTTTTTTTTGCAAAATGTATAGTATGACATTTTTTATGCAAGACAAAGTGAACCATTAGAGGATGATAATTCCTATGCATGCTGCAGAGGTAGGTTTATTGTTTAAATGTGACTAATTTTGTCCACAATTAATATGCACTGTGCATGATGAAATACCACCGGAGAATTCAATGCTTTCAGTGTTGTAAACTCTAACTCAATATCCAAATACGGTGCTAGCCCTACTGAGTCTGTACACGACTTTTTCTGTCCAAAAAATACACTTTATTTGACCTACAAAGCTTTTGTTTTATATTTTCAACTCCCCCTGTAACCCCATAGCATTCAGATGGAAAAAACGAAGATACATGTGCTAAAGCAGCATAGGGTGCATCATTTTGCAGCTGTATCTCTCTCTCCAGTATTAAGTATATTCACAACATTTCTTGTGGTGCAACCTTAGGAAGAGCTGTGTCAACAGCAGTGGACATGGCAGATGACTGGCAGTTGGCACTGCAAGACAGTTCCTAAATACGCTGCACAGTACAAATTTACAAGTTATAAACTACGTATTTTGTTACTGTTAAAGCAGTGATATAAGTACTGCATATATTATTTTAATCCCCCCCCCTTAACTGGCGATGCCAAGGACTGAGCCTGGAGTTTTCTGCACACAAAGCAGGCGCTCAGAACACAGGGAGCTCCCTTAATGCCAAGTTAGATCATTGGTCCATCTAGTTCAGCACCACCTACTCTTTGTCATGCAAGCCATGTGCTTCACTGGTGATCCTCAGCCCCTCTACGAACCTTCATCTCCTGGGCATTTAAAACATAATGGGTCACCTGTGCCTGTTTTGCTTACGCAATCAATTTGGGAGATATATACCATGCCATTTTTTCCAGAGAAGGAACAACAGCTCTGTGCCAGCTGCACAGTATTCTGTGAATGTTGGTTTTCAGATTTTTTTTTTTAAAGCACAAATTTCTGACCCATCTGGTTTACAAGCTTTAGTGTAACTGTTAACATGGCAGTCAGCTGTTTAAACAGAATAAGGTGTGCAGCAAGTTTAAGGCCCTATAAAACAACTTTTACAAGGAACGTCACTGAGTTTCGCAACACCAGCATGGGTTTTCTTGCAGCCAGCTGTACCCAAAGGGTGGTTATAGGCCATCTCACTTCCCTTGCAGCTAAGGACTGCTTGAACTTCCTTGGGATTTGGGGCAAAACCAGACTCTCCCAACAAACAATTTAATAAAAATGATCTGTCTACTGATTCTGCCTTGTTTGTCCCCCCATATACACTCCAGTCTGCAGACTTGCTTATCATAGGTTCCTTTCACACGCAGAAATTGCCGCGGAAGAGGCACGAATGCCCGGCGGATTATAGGGGCGCGATCACACAGGAACATCTGGCAAGTGTAGCACACCCATTGACCATCCATAGCATCCAGCAGAAGATGCGGAGTTAAAAAGTACCCGGGAAAGCCTACTAGCAAACCGTTTGCAACGGGCCATGGATGATTGCTCCAGCGCACTCCTCTCGCCTAGTTGAAGTGCGGCAGAAACATGCACCGACGAACAAAAACCTGATTCACCGCCGTCGCGTCTGATCGCATTCTGGTGGGTCAAACTGCACCGGCACAAAAAGCCACACCTCCCCCCGCATTATCTGGCCCATGTGACCGGGGCCACAGTGTATTAAGACTGCTGTTTCAGCAACCATTCATTTTTATCCCACCCCTCCTCACAGGATCTCCATATGGTATGTCTTTCTCCCTCTTCCGCTTTATCCTCACAACAGTCCTGTGAGGTTGGACAGGCTAAGAGTGAAGGAGTAACTGGCCTGAAGTTACCCAGTGAACTTTACACTTGAGTGGGATTTGAACCCAGATATCCCCAGTCCTCGAGCAACATTTTAACCACTATATCACACACTTCATCTGGGACCAGGCCTAATTTGTGGGATCAGGAAGAAAAGATAGTCAGACCTTTTGGGTTTTGGATTCCTAATGTAGTGTTATAATTCTCACTTAGAGTGCAAAAGACCCCGAGTTCGAATCCTCTATAAATCCTAACAGAAATGGAGGGTGATGTTTCCAAATTGGCCTTTATGAGAAATGGGTTGTAGGAATTAGATGACCTTTGACCTAATCTAGCAGGACTCTTCACATGTAGTGAGGAAAGCGTCCTGTCTCTTAAGCCAGTTTGGTGTAGTGGTTAAGTGTGCAGACTCTAATCTGGGAGAACCGGGTTTGATTCCCCACTCCTCCACTTGCACCTGCTGATGTGACCTTGGGTCAGTCACAAGCTCTGGCACAGCTGGTTCCTGAAAGAGCAGTTTCTGTCAAGAGTTCTCTCAGCCCCACCCACCTCACAGGGTGTCTGTTGTGGGGAGGGGAAGGGAAAGGAGTTTGTAAGCCGCTCTGAGATTCCAAGTGAAGGGCGGGGTATAAATCCAATCTCTTCTTCTTCTTCTTGCCATTATTACTCCAAAATAACTTTGAAGCTAAGCAGAGAAGCATGAGAGGGGTTATTATGCCTGGCACCAGTACCATTTACAGCTTCTTGTCCCCTTCCTCCTTCTTCTACACAGATGTCTTTAAGGAACCACCTTACTTACAAACGAAAATTCATCGTGAAAAAAGTAGAGAGCCAGTTTGGTGTAGTGGTTAAGTGCGCGGACTCTAATCTGGGAGAACCGGGTTTGATTCCTCACTCCTCCACTTGCAGCTGCTGGATGACCTTGGGCAAGCCATAGTTCTGTCAGAGTTGTTCTCTCAAGGACAGTTCTCCAGAGAGCTCTCTCAGTCCCACCTCCCTCAGAGGGTGTCTGTTGCGGGGACGGGAAGGGAAAGGAGTTTGTAAGCCGCTCTGGTATAAATCCTCCTCCTCCTCCTCTTCCTCATAAAAATTTTCCTAAGAATTTCAAATTTGCATGCTGGAAAAAAAACCCTCATTTTAAAAATCCCGCACTTGCACTCTAAATTTGGCATTCAAATGGAACTTGTAGATGTGAGTGATAGTCACATTCTGGAGCGCCCACTCAAACTAGACAGCAGCTATCTGGTTAGCAGCAAATTCAAGATTTGTTAGACCAACAGTGCTTGAAAATTCACAACACTGGTTTCTAAACAGTGTAAAATTCAAGTCTAAACGAAATAACAAAACAGGTTTGAGATGAAATCCTGTGAGAGGACAAAGCAGATGCATGACGATTTATGAAAATCTATGTACGATCACAGGAGTTCTGCTGGACCAGAACCAACAATCCATCTAATCCAGCTTCCTACAGTGGCTAACTAGGGAAGCCACGAGCCGGGTGCAAAAAGCCAACGCCTTCCCCTC